CCCACTGCATGAATTTGTGCACGAGTGGGGTCCTTCAGCCTGGTTGGCGATCGAGGCCTATCAGGGTGCTGGCCGGCTGTGGGGAGGGACCCCGGGAGGTTGGCTGGCAGCGGGGGAAGGGCTGCGGGAGGTTGGCCGTGGGAGCACACTGACTACAAGGGGGCAGCTCTTGCATTGAGTGTGTATCATAGCAGCTGGTCAACCTGTCGTTCCAGTTGTTCGGTTGTAACAGTTGCTTAGGCCTTTTATATATAGACTAGAGGCCTGGTGCACAAATTTGTGGACCAGTGGGGTTACTCGGCCTGGTCCGTGGGATTGGGCTGAAACCGGCTCTCCAACATCACCCGAGGGGTGCTGGATTGCGAGAGGGTGCAAGCCAGGCTGAGGGACCCCACTACTGCATGATCAGGGTCAGGGAGGGACGTGGGAGGTTGACCAGCTGGGGAAGGACCGTGGGAGGGCTCCAGTATATGTCCAGCCGATCATGTTCAGTCCCAATCGGCTGGACCCCAGCAGCAAGCTAACCTACCAGAGTGTCTGCCTCCTTGTGGTCAGTGCATGTCATAGCATGCAGTTGAGCGGCCTTAGCATATCATTAGCATATTACACTTCGGTTGGTTGAACAGACAACTGGACGACTGGACACTAAAATATTAGGCTTTTATTGTATTGGATTCCCCTTTCTCTTTTCACCCATTCCCCCACCACCTCCTTTCTGGTAACTATTCTGTTGGTCTCTGTTTCTATGGGCCTGTTTTTATTTTGTTTTGTTTTTTGATTCCTCATATAAGTGAAACCATACGATATTTGTCTTTTTCTGCCTCACTCATTTTACTTAGCATAATACCCATGTTGTCAAAATGACAAGGTTTTATTCTTTTTGTTGCTGCTTAATATTTCATTTGCCACAACATCTTAAAGATTCTTTTGTTGGTAAGTGAGGTTCCTGTTTTGAATAGTAACGAGACGTTTTGGAATCCAATTTAAAAACTAATTTTCGTATCCTCCAATCATGTATTCTACACACCTATTGAAAGGAAATAATATAAAATGAATACATGGCTCTGCAAGTGTTATTTATAATGTTGGGGAACAATGAAAGAGAAGTGGTTGAGTACATTTTGATAAACTTTTTTTATGTAGTCATTAAAATGTTAATAAAATATTAATAAAATGTTTATATAATCACATGTAAATGCTTAAGATGAAATATTATAGGAAAACATACACAGTGTTAGGTACTTTGTAATCTCAACTCTAAGAAAATGTGTGTGTGTGTAAATACATAATCTTGGCTCTATCGGTAGCTGTGTGCCTGGCAAATCACCTGGTCCCTAAGCCAGTGCTGTCTAATAGAAACGTCTGTGATGAAGGGAATGGTTTGTATCTGTGTTGTCCAGTACTGTAGCCACTAGCCATGTGTAACTTTGAGCACTTGAAATGTAGTCATGTGATTAGCTTGATTTTCATATTATTTTTAATTAAATTAAATGGCTACTTATAGTAGCTAGTGGCTATCAGTTTGTAGCTATTAGCCTTTGTTTAATCATTTTTAAAAAATATATTTTATTGATTTTTTACAGAGAGGAAGGGAGAGGGATAGAGAGTTAGAAATATCGATGAGAGAGAAACATCAATCAGCTGCTTCCTGCAAACCCCCTACTGGGGATGAGCCTGCAACCAAGGTACATGCCCTAGACCAGAATCGAACCTGGGACCTTTCAGTCCGCAGGCTGATGCTCTATCCATTGAGCCAAACCGATTAGGACTTTAGTTTAATCATTTATAAAGTGGGAATAATAATATTTAGCTCATTGAATTGAGGGTTCAGTGAGAATTTATGTTAAATGTTTCTGACACAGAGTAACTAAGTATTATATTATGTATACTAGTGGCCTGGTGCATGGATTCATGCACATTGAAAGAAATTAATTAGAAGGTGGCTGGTGGGGTGGGACTGGGTGAGACAGCTGGACACGCCCTGGAGCCAACTTTCTGCGGTCCTTCCCCAGCCAGCCGCACCTGGGGCAGTGCCTCAACTCAAAGGGTGTCTGTGGTCACCGCAGCTCAGCAGTAAACCAGACTCGGGGCCGACAGTGCCCCAGCAACAACATAACCCATGGCTGAAGGTGGAATTGTGTAGCCCCATTAGTAATTGGGTTCCCTCCTTTCTGGTTCTAGGGTGCATCACCCGAAAACCACCACTGCCAAGTCACTGCAGCTCGGCAGCTCTTGCATCGATTATCTGCCCCCTGGTGGTCAGTGCATGTCATACCAACCGGCTGGTCATATACTAGTAGCCCGATGCACAAAGATTCATGCAAGAGTGGGCCTTCCTTCCCCTGGCTGCCAGCACTGCCTTCGCTCTGGCCTGGAGCCGCCTTTCTGCCTTTGCTCTGGCACAGAGCCACCTTTCTGCCTTCCCATGCTGCTCAGAGGCCCAGAGTGGCCAGAGCTGTGCAGAATTCCTGCATTTCACCCCACCCCCGGCTGCTCAGGTCCTGCTATGCAAATTAACCTGCCATCTTTGTTGAGTTAATTTGCATACTCATTCCTGATTGGCTGTTGGGCGTCGCGAAGGTACAGTCAATTTTCATCTTTCTCTTTTATTAGTGTGTGTGTGTGTGTGTGTGTGTATATCTCCATCATTATTATATATGAACTAGAGGCCCAGTGCATGAATTCGTGTACCAGTGGGGTCCCTTGGCCTGGCCAGTGATCGGGAACGATTTGGGCTGTCTCTCCTAGTCCTGATTGGAGCTGATGGGGGCCTGCCAGCCAGGGAGGGACCGTGGGAGATTGGCTGGCCAGGGAAGGACCGCAGGAGGGCTCCAGGGCATGTCCAGCCCATCTCACCCAGTCCCAATAGGCCAGAACCCAGCAGCAAGCTAACCTACTGTCAGAATGTCTATCCCCTGGTGGTCAGTGCACATAATAGCAACTGGTGGAATGGTTGAATGAACGGTCGGACACTTAGCATGTTATGCTTTTATTATATAGTATGAGATATTTTAAAAAGAAGGAAATATACAAAATATACAATGGCAATCTTTTGGTTATGGAGTTATATGAAGTTATTTATTCTTTTTTAATTTTTTAATATTGAGTATGGTATGTCATCTGAACTAATACATATTTTTTAATACTTATCAAAACAAAATGTAATTCCTTTTTTTCCCCTAAGGTTGTGCATAGGCAAAGGTGTGCAGTTGGAATGTAAAGGTGAAGGTGATGTCTGGGTCAGGTGCCTCAGTGACCATGCAGTCTCTGTACAGAGTACCTACTTGGACAGAAAAACTGGGCATATGCGTGGAATAGGTGTTCATAAGATCTGCCCAAAAATGTATGTAAAGGTGAGTGTACGTTCTCCTATCTCAGACTTGGAAGGCTCTATTTGTTTAGAGAATTGAGATGGAGGAGGGAGGAGAAGAAAAATGTCCTTTTATGTATCAAATCCCAGAAATTATGTTGTTTGTTAAACACATTTCCTTGGGGGCATTTACTGACACGGCTGGTTACCTCGTTTTGTGATTACATTCATGCCCTATTATTTTAGTAGCAAATTTGTTAAATGTTTTAGACTAACACAGGTTCTTGAAAATATTGAGTGAAACCAGAAGCATCTTCCTTTGTTATAAATATGTAAAATGTTCATAGCCAATCTTTAGGATTTTGTCAAAGGAAATTCTAATTACTCAATCAAATTAAGCCCAAGGTATTTTTTTATTAATTATTACATATTCAATTCATTTTACTTTGATGACAAACACTATTTGAAAAAGAAATATTGTAATTAGATAGCCCCCCTTTCTCTCTCTCTCTCTACACACACACACACACACACACACAATGTTTTAATTGATTTTAGAGAGAGAGGAAGGGAGAGTAAGAGAGAGAGAGAAACATTGATTGGTTGCTTCCTGTACACACCCTGACAGGGGACCCAATCCACAGCTTGGGCATGTACCCTGACCCGAAATTGAACTGATGACCTTTCGGTGCATGGGATGATGCTCAACCAACTGAGCT